CCAAAACTATAGGAGTTAAAGTGATTTTTACTCTATTGAACTTCATAACTTTTAAGTTTGGCATCCAAGTTCTTAGCTGGGTACAACTTAACTTTTTTTTAATTTTTCTGTTCAGCGAGCACACACAAACACACACATAAATTTGTCTTCTGAATCGCAATTTCAAAATATAATAATACAATCATTATATGTATATGAGAAAATAGATGAGTGGGGTTAAATCTAAATACATTAATACAAATACAATCTATCAAAGAAAAAAAACGAAGAAGGAAAATTAATGATTTTTTTTTTATCAGTGTGGTCACCAGCCCCCACTCATCGCTATATAGGTCCGTCCTTGCTTGTCGACATCTTGATTTTTCTAAAACCTGACTTTTGTTAGCTCTTATTAGTAAAAATTAAATTATGGCATACAAAATTTTGACTTTTAGTAGTAGAAAAATATAAAACTTTCAAGATTTTGTCTTTTATAATGAGAGTTTAAGTTTAGATTTTAATTTCACATTCAAAAAATTTCATATAGATATAATGATGATAGTAGGGGTATATAACATAAGTGGACGAAACAAAATATTACCTCTTTTAAAGTATAATTAAAAATCTCGAATGAAGGGCATTTTTGGAATTTATGAGATGTCATAAGAAAGAAATTTAAGTCATAAGAAAAAAATTTAATCTTAAAACTTCAAAATGGGATGTTTTAAGAAAGAGTAAACGACACTTTCCCACCCAAATAATGGTTTAATGACATTTTTCCACTCGTGGACTTTTAAAATGTCATTTTATTACCTAAATTTATATTCCGTTCTCGATTTCGACATCGTTGCAACTCCACACCACCACCTTTATCTTTCCTGTTCATCATTTACCAAAACCTCTCAAACCTTATTTCCGCCGACCCTGCCAGTCGTTGGCAATCGAGCGATTAAGGTTTGTGCAACTATCCGTCCCAAGTCAAATTCTGATCAATCTCAACCACCAAATTCCAACTTTCCACCACCAGAAGGCTTATTAGCCTCCTCTCATCAAAAACCCCAATAACCTAGACTAAGTTTGCTCTCTGTTAGCTGCCAGAATATAAATTTGGATAGTAAAGTTGTATTTTAAAAGTTCGTGGGTGGAAAGTGTTATTAAACCATTATTTGGGTGGAAAAAAGTTGTTAACCCTTTAAGAGCTGGGTCTTCTTTAGTCCATTAGTGGGGTGCCATGCCAATAGCTCCACTCCACTCTTATATTTTTTATTTGTTGATATAAACTTGGCTTTGTAATTATGGATGGTAATATTTTCTTTTAAATTACAATTCTTGTTCATTTGTAACCAGTGCAGCTGAATCAAACCAGATATTCTAGATGATTTTCCAACTGCCTTTGTTTAATTTATCAGATAATTAAGCACACAGATGCTTGCAGGCGTTTCATTTTAAAACAGAGATTTATGCAACATATATATATGTTCATCTATATCCAATTTCTTAATTCATAACATTAAAAAAAATCTAAACCTCGTAAAAACCCTCTCATTTCAAACCTTGATGCTCAATCAAACACCAAAACTAGAAAACCCATTTAAAAAAAAAAAAAAAAAAAATTGTTGTTAGGATTCTTTTAGAATTAGGATAACTAAGTTAAGTCCTTTTCTAATTATGCTATTATGCAATTAGAATAATCACAATCTTTAGAATTAGACAATTAGACTAAAATTATGCAATTAGAATCCTTCTAGAATTAGAATAATTTGTAAGGCTATATAAAGCCTTAAACAATTAGGGTTGAGGAAGGCAATAATCAATAAAAAGTTCTCTATTCTTAAACTCTCAATTCTCATTCTTCTTGGAGGTTATGTTTCCTCATATAGAACAGAAATGTTATCCTATCGCTTGTCCACACTACTATCCTGTCACTCATCCACACTCCACATGGTTAGTCGCGGCTCTGTCATTATTTGTCAATCAATTAGTAAAAACTTTTAAAAACCCAAAATCTTAAGCAAAAGAAATAATACAATATCAAAAAGCTGAAAAGAAAAAATACAATAACACAATATTTTCCTACTTGAATAAATATATATGAAACCTTAAACAAATGTGTTAAAAATAACATCCAATTCACAAGGAAATACAAAAAACTTTTACATGAAAAAATCTCTTTAATGTGAAGAAAGTAAAAAAACCATGAAAATTTAACGATCCACTTAAATTCAATATAATAAAAAACGTTTACAACAACCACATAAAATATTCCACATAAAATTAGAGCTTAATCACTACTCTTAACATAAGTAAAAATTTTTGGGTTTTTTTTTCTTCTTCAATTTTTTTTTAACATTGATGAAATTAATTATCTAGGTATATATTTATCCTCAAATAACAAAATTTTAGACAGATTTCTTGCTAAAGGAAATTATTAAATTTTATCTTTTACCATTTATGTGATGTAAGAAAACATGGTTGGGAGATTTTTTTTTTTTTTTTTTTACCTATATATGCTTAATTATATAGGAAATTATTATCATAGTCTTTTTTTTTTTTTTTTTTTCCCCTTTTTTATCTTTTTGAATAATTATTCTCTTGTCAGTTTAGGATAAGTATTTACATGTTTGGCGCACAGTACTAGACTAGACTTATTTTACGGGATTGGATTAAATGAATAGCTATAGATTGAATTAGATTGGACAAGAATATAATAGGATATCCTGTTTGATAAAGTATTTCATTGGACAACTATTTATATGATTAAACATTTCAAATTTTACTAATTAATAAATTTAATAAACTTAACTAAATACTTAAACTTTAATTTTAATTTAACTATAAAACTATTTATATTTATTATAAAAATATTTATTTTATTAAATTATTATTGTATATTCGTAATATTCAATACAAATTAAATAAAATATTGGAATATATTTAAGGGAGAACGACTTATACATACCCAAGATTTATCGAACGACAAGTTGGTACCCAAAAGTTTTGAAATGACAAATAGATACTTCGTCTGTTCTGTTAGTGATTCTGTTTATTACTTTTTATTAATAGTGAAAAGACTAAAATGCCCTTAAAAGTTTGAATTTTAGTTTTTTATAAATTTAAAATTTCAAAAAACCCCCTAAGTTTACAATTCACTAAATACCCCAATATATAAAAGTTTTATAAATAACAAAACACCCCCCACCGGCAAGTGCCAGATTCCGGCCACCACCGCCGAATCTGCGCGAAAGTTGCGTTCGACACAGACCGGTCGATCTGTGTCGTAACGCGTCGTCTGGCCTTTTTCGTCAGATCCGTGGCTGATCTGGCCGGAAAAGCCAGATCTATGGCTAGATCTGGCCGTCGACGCCGCAAAACTCCATCTGCGGCGTCGAAGGCCAGATCTGGCAGTAGATCTGGCCTTTTCCGGCCAGATCAGCCACGGATCTGGCTGGAAAAGGCCAATCTGGCTGCTGCTTCGACGGCCAGATCTTGCCTTTTCCGGCAAGATCCGTGGCGGATCTGACCGAAAAGGAAAGATCGGCACATTACGACACGAATCCGACGGTGGTCGGGGGTGGTGGGGGAAGGGAAAAAAAGGGAATAAAGATATTTAAGGGGGAGGAAAAAAGCAAGAAAATCTGATTTTGTCGTAATACAGTTTTCCGGCCAGATTCCGGCGATGGTGGCCGGAATCTGGCATTGGGGGTGGTGGGGGTGTTTTTGTCATTTAACAAACATTTTATATATGGGGGTGTTTAATTAAATTAGCAAACCTAAGAAGTTTTTTAGAAATTTTTAAATTTATAAAAAACAAAAATTGAAACTTTGAAGGGCATTTTAGTCTTTTCACTATTAATAAACAAAAATCACTAACAGAATATGATGGAAGGTACCTATTTGTCGTTTCAAAATTTTTTGGGTACCAACTTATTATTACAGTAAACTTTGGGTATGTACAAGTCGTTCGCCCTATATTTAAAACTGCAAACGTCATTTCCATGAGGCTCGAAAAAAGAAGATCCGAGAAGGGCCGCTGGTTTCTTTTTGTGTTCAGTGTTTGGACTAAAAAGAATTAGTCCCCAACTTCAAATGATCCGAAGTTGTTCCAAACATGGGATTAAAAGTGCTAATTTATTAAGTTATAACATATGATTCCGTCCTCTTCGCAGAAGTTATTCTTTAGGCATTTAACATTATTTATTTAATTTAATTATCGGCAAGCAGTCAGTTTTTGTCTTTCTTTTTTTCTTTAAAGTCAGTTCTTAACGTATTGACTAAATCAAACTCTCTGGTTTGGCATCCCAAGTTCTTAGCTAGGAACACCTTTTTTTATTTCTTTTACTTTTTCTGTTCAGTGAGTGTGAGCACACACAAACGCACATACTTTTTGAACTCTTTGTTAACAATAATTAACTCTTACTAGTAAAAACTATATTATCATATATAAAATTTTGTTTTTTAATAGTAGAAAAATACAAAACTTTCAAGATTTTGTCTTTTTCGTAATGAGAGTTTAAGACTAGATTTTAATTTCACATCCGAAAATTTTCATATAGATATAATCAGGACGTAAAGTGTTCTCTCTTTTTTTCCTCATTGTATATAGTACATCTCTCTTGCAAACATTTTGGTTTTTAACATCCAAACTTGAATTCTCACTAGCATGTGAAACATAGTTAACCTCGTACGAGAATTTAAATCTAAATTTTAAGTTGTACTCACATAGAATTATACATATAATAAACCTGCACTTACAATAAACAGATAAAAAAATCTGAAATATAAAGACTATTTTTCTTTTTAAATTTGTTTAGCAAGTATTGCGCTCATAATTATAGCCAAAAGAATAATCTACACACATATTTAGTCTCTGTCAGGAAATCTATGTATAGATGCCCTTTTGTTCTTTAGAACTATGCAAAAGTCTACAGTGATGATACAATGAATCATCACAAGTCTCAGTACAGTTTATCAGCATTGTTTTATTTGTAATTTTTTCTTAAAAGATTTTATGTTGCCTGCAGTTGTATCGTCAGAAAGAAGAGATGGCTTTGCAATCTTTTACAGATCATATGATGAAACTTTGGGATGGATGGGAAACTCGAGTGTTGGTTTTATTGAGCCTTTTTGTACAAATCATCCTCATCATATTCGGTTCTCAAAGAAAATATACTAGAAGAATTTGGATCAATCTCCTTGTTTGGTTAGCATACTTGACAGCAGACATGATGGCAACAGTAGCTCTCGGTTGTCTTGCTCGCAGCCGACGAGATTGTGCAGCTGATAAAGTTTTAAAGCTCCAAGCATTTTGGGCACCTTTCCTTCTACTGCACCTTGGTGGCCCCGATACTATCACAGCTTACTCCTTAAATGATAATGAATTTTGGCTAAGGCACTTTCTTCAATTTGTGTTCCAAGTTGGAGTAGCATTTTATGTCTTTATACCATCCTGGAGAAACAAAGATGCCTTCATATTTATAGCCATTCCAGTGTTTATCGCTGGAATAATTAAGTATGGAGAGCGAATTTTGGTGCACTCTTCAAGCTCCAAGCAATTTAAAGATTCCTTGCGTTCACCTCCTGATATTTCTCATGATCCTGTAAACCTAGAAAATCATAAGGAAAAAGAAGGGTCTGAAAAGAAATCAACTGAAGAGGTAAATAATTACCTCGTTGAAGCTGTTTCCTCGTTCAAAAAATTCAGGTGTCTCTATGCCGACTTAATTCTCGATCATGATGAAAGGAAAGGAAGTTGCTCTCTTTTCAGCCAGAAGTCAGCAAAAGAAGCCTTCAAATTGATAGCGGTTGAGCTTGGATTCATGTATGATGTGCTCTACACAAAGACGACCACAATTTATTCGGATTCGGTATCTTTCTTCGTTGCATCTGTCTGTTCTCTCATATTTTTGTATCAATTTTCTTCTTCATCATTATTGATAAGTCTTCCTATTCGACAAGTGACATTTCTATAACTTATGTACTCTTACTCGGAGCTATTTTTCTGGAGGTTTATGCATTCATTGTACTTCTTTTCTCTGATTGGACAAAACTTTGGTTGACGAAGCGTAATTATATGTCCATTGATACATGTTCTTTTGGTTTACTCTCCAACGACAACAGAAGGTGGTCAGGATCCATGGGTCAGTACAATCTATTAAGTTCTTCTCTTTCAGAGAACAAATCAGCCACATCGTTGATCGTTGGAGTTCAGAAGCTATTTGGAATCAAAGAATTGATAGAAAAGTATAAATATTTGACTTGGAAAGAAGTGGATGATGGTTTGTTAGAAGCGATCTTTATCCAACTCCTTGAGAAAAGCCAAGAACTTAAAGGGGATCTTTTTGATATCAAGCAATGCAAAGAATTGTTAGGTCGGAGAGGAGATTATGTGCTTAGCAAAAGGTCTTTTAGTAATGAATTTCGTTGGAGCACAATTGAGGTGGAATTTGATTACAGTCTTCTTCTTTGGCACATCGCTACTGATCTTTGTTATTATCATGATTTCTATAACCTTGAAGAGGGTCGTGAACTTCCACCAGAATGCAAAATTAGTAAATGGTTATCAGATTATTTGTTGTATCTTTTAGTCATATATTCAACCATGTTGCCCAAAGGGATTGGTGAGATGAGATATAAAGACACCTGCCTAGAAGTCAGATTTTTGAGAGAAAAAAAGGTTGGTTCATCCACTGAAATCAGTAAAGTTTACAAGGCTTTACTTGATGAATCAGCACTGGATCAACACATTCAGAATAAAGGAAGTTCTCTGTCGGTGTTAGTTCATGGATGTATGCTCGCCAAGCAATTGCAGGGTTTGAACATCTTAGTAGATGATAGTGGGAGGAACCGTAAATGGGAGGTGATAAGTGAAGTGTGGATGGAAATGTTGGGACATGCTGCAAATCATTGTGGATGGAAAGAGCATGGAGAACAACTTATGAATGGTGGAGAGTTACTTACGTATGTCTTCTCATGGCACATCTTGGCTAAAGTGAACAATATCAAATCCAAAAGCAACCCATCCACCAGCATTGGAGAACTAGGCTTTTTGTAGGATTACAATCTTGGATCTTTATGATATTTTTTGAGATTTTCGAGATATTTTTCGAGATTTTCTATAAACTTTTCTATACTTTTGAGCAATTCGTGTAGTAAGTCTCTCTCTCTCTCTCTCTCTCTGTGTTTTATCACTCTCTCTGTGTCGCTCTCTTTGTATTTATCACTTTCTACATGTCCAATGTAGTTGGATACGTTGGCTGGTGTGCTCCTGCTGGTGCTGGTGCTGGTGCTGCTGTCTGTACTACTGGTACATTCGACCTGATGCTAATGATTCATAAACAAATATTTTGTAAGATTCTTCAATTTCTCACCTATTCGTTAGATGAAAATTTTCTTCCTCTTTTTTGAACTTTTTTTTGGCTTCATTATTTTTTATATTTACTTATCTAGTGTATATAATTATGTATAATCCTACATTTTTCTGTTAATATAAAATTAACTAAACCTCTACTTCCAGTAACAATTAATAGCACTACCGATAAAATTTGAGGTGGGCTTGACTCCTCACTCAATAAGGCATTGTTGAATGGGAGGATTACCACCTCTTATAACCTAATAGGCTTGAGCGTGCCTAGTCGGTGTGGAACTCCAACACTTCCCCTCACGGTCAAGCCCATATGTTGGGTCATGCCTGTTATTAGAGGTAGTTGCTAGCTTTAACTCCTCATCCGCTGGTCAAGCGCTCAGCTCAACTGGACCTGGGCTCTAATAGTAAATTGAGAAGTGCAGAGATACTTGGTGTTGGTTTTCTTGCACTAGATATAACTTTCTAGGATCAGATTTTCCATAATCATGTAAATCATTGTGTTGTTCGTGTATTTGTTATGTTGACTATTTTTCTTTACTGTTGATTCTTTGCATACTTGGATTTAGACATTATTATTTCATAATATAATTGGAACGTTTGGTAGATTTGTACATATCAAATGTTCCATAAATCGCCCGATTAAGAATTTTTGTCAACATTATTTCCCAAAAATTGCCACTTATGGATTTTTTAGCAGTATTTCCCAAAATTAGTTATCGAATTCGATGTCATAAGTAGGGGTGCAGTCGAACGAGTAGCTCGTGAGCTACTCGGGATCTACTCATGATGAATTCAGGCTCGACTCGTAGAAAATCGAGTAGTTCACGAGTTCGAGCTCATCTTCAAGCTTGTGAAAAATGTCGAGCTCTTCGGGCTCGATTCGAATTGCTCATGAACTTCTGAGAAACTCGAGACATCATTCGAGTAAGAGAGCTCGTGAGATCGATCGATTTGTTTCAGTTTGCGTATTTAGATTTATCCTAAAATCTGAAACAAAGACATTCGGCTGCAAAATCCCTGAAACAGAGACATTTTCCCTTCAACCATGCATATTTCACCTCCGCCAAATCACACCGCAAGATCTGAGATGCCATCGTTGTCCAGCCTTCATTCAGCTACTACCGTCCAACAACCAGCCTTCATTTACCCTTCAACTTTATTTCACCTGCGCGCCGTAAAATCCCCAAAACAGAGACATTTTCCCTTCAACCTTATTTCACCTCCACCTCTACCATCGTCTTCTTCACTTCTTCACACCGCAACATTAGCCACCGTCGATTGTAGCTTCAACTTGTTTTCAGTATTTTGAACACTAAACCCAAAAACAAAGATAATCATTAGCACTTCTTCTTTTGTTAGTTTTATACTCGCTTACAGAAGAATAATAAGAGACCCACTTAACTTAACAAATTAACAACCCAAATTTAAGATATATATATATCAGAAAAATATTCAGAGATGAGGCGTTGGATTTTGGTCTTAGTGGATTCTTCAGCATCAATTGATAAGTTAGTGGGAGAGGCGGTGGAAGAAGAAGAAAGTGGGTTAAGTTCAAGATGAACGATGTCGTTTTCTTAAATTCTTACATAATAACTAAATAACCAAGCCGAGCATCGTTTTCTTAAATGAGCCGAGCTCGAGCCTCTTATCAATACATCCGAGCTGAGCTCAAGCCAGCCACTACTCGGTTCGGCTCATATGCACCCCTAGTCATAAGTGTGTGTGTATATATATATATATATATATATATATATTGCATCTGCCACGTAATGATTTATGCTACGTAATAACGGGTTTTAGTTGACGATATTTGTTGAATTATTTTATTATATGTCACTGTTTTCCTCTCTCTCTCTCTCTCTCTCTCTCTCTCTCTCTCTCTCTCTCTCTCTCTCTCTCTCTGTGTATTTATCACTTTCTACATGTCCGATGCAGTTGCATATGCTGGGTGGTGTTTGGCTTCTTCTGCCCCTCTGGCTGCTGCAACTACTGCTGCCGCCGCTGTCTTCATTATGCGGTTTAAAGAAAAATTCCTTACTCTGGGTGCTACATATCTTTATTATGGGTAAACTATAATTATATTATATATTTTGTGAGTTTGCATGTAGTTACAAGATTTGTAATGATCAAATACCACTTATTATGAGTTGTAGTTTGTATTGAATAATTAGACGTGGTGAAACTAAAATTCCGTTGTTATTTTATAAGTTTTATAAGATATTAACGTCATTCAGATCAATTTTTCTGGTATTATAGTTATTATTTTATTAAATCTCATAGTCATGTTTTGATTTCATACACGGTTAATTTATTGATTATTATTAATTTGGTAACATCCGTATGAAATCAAATGCACTAGCACTGCTTAATCATGTTTTATGTTCCTTTGGTTGAGATATATTACTTTGGATTTTATCCAAGTAACAAAGTGCGAATTGGTCTACTATGGAGACCTAATTGATTGTCTTATTCCCATTAACTCACATCCTCCTTTAATTTTCAGGTTATAATTTAAAAAAAAAAAGTATTAGAAATATTTATCATGGTAAAACTATTTTATTGAAAATTTGAGTTAAAATGCAATTGTTTATTGTAGGAATGTGAGCCTAGATTTTATTAGGTTTAGAGTTGATTTTGGTCAAATTTTTGACAAAAACAGTTAAGTAAAGGTTAGTGTGGTTTATACATTGAGGGAGAGGACTATGCCTAGTATGAGACGGTAAAGCCACCTATGTTCTTAATGAACTTCATACTCTCATTGGTGGTGGTGTGTAGGCTATAAGTACACACTTGATGGAGGTTTAGCTGTGTGAGTGTGGAATTGGATCGGTTCCAATGAGAGTCTAGACAAGCATCTCTAGAGCACTCATGAAATTCAGAGACACAGGGCTATTAAAATGTCAAATCACAAAACGATTAAAATAAAACATTTAGTGTGGATTTCTAATCCTCTGATTTAGACTAAAGGAACATTAGTTCTAGAAATTAAATGTTTCACCATGTTCCTCTAAGACACGATTAGTTTTCCAATGGTTGTTTCATAGCTTGAAGGCACCGGTTCATATGAACTGAATTATAAAGTCTCTCTGGTAATAGATTTTCATGTATTTTGAAATTAGGGAAATTGTTGTATTTTATTAAATATTTCAAAATACATGTTGTGATCGTTTTATTGCAATTTAATGTTATTATCAAAACCCGACATTTAAAAAGTAAAAAAGAAAGAAATCAAGCTCTCTAGTAGACATTGCAGCCTTGAATGATAAAAAAAAAACAAATATAAGTATGTATTTTGAATAATTGATGGATAGACGGACCAAATTCATATTTGATGATGATTGTTAACTGCCTTTGCTCAATTTTAAATAGATTTTTACTAAATATGTTCAAACTGTAGACGTAAAAATCTACCTGTACGGAAAGGGGGTCTGATCCCGTGAGGTTAAGGCCACTAGCGATCCGCTGCACCTGCACACGTAGAGAAACACACGCGTGAAGCGAACGGGAAATACCGGGGTCGTGTTTGCTGTAGGCACTCCGACGCTCAAGTCAGCAAGGCTGAGAGAGGCTAATATAGTGAGGGCTAGGGAGTAGAAGTTACCGGAAGTCTAGTCGGGGACTGTGACTACGGCGGTGATGTGGAGCTCTCAAGTCAGAGCTTTCAGTGTGAAGGTGTAATGTCATCTGTCCCTTGTGAGAGGGCTGGCCTCTGTTTATATAGTGGTCGTCTGGTCTCCCAATCCTGGTAGAAGTAGGAGTCCTAGTATGACTCTGATGCAAACCCTAGAAGAATTAGGGCTGTGGTAAGCTGTCTTACCAGTGTCTGGATAGGAAGGTGATTCTGATTAGGAGAGTAACTCCGAGTAGGAAAGTGATCAGGAATAGGAAGGTGACCTTGAATGAGAGATTGATCAGGAGTAGGAAAGTATTCTGAGGGGATTGTGGGCTCTGGATTCGCCCATGGATCTAGGAAATGGACTGGGATTAGGAGGCTCGTGCCCACGTGGTTTGGGCTGGCTATATCTTGTACCGAATGGGCCTAATTTGGTTGGGTCATAATGAGATTGGGCCTGACTTCTTCTTCAGTGTCGAGCCCGTTTTCCTATTCGGGCCAAGGACAATTTTTGGCCCTAACACAAAGTAAATCCAATTTCTTAATTTATCATGTTTAAATAATAAACCTACTCGATCACTTTCAATAGGTTTGTTGTAATATAAACTCACATAATGATAACTAAAATATTAAATTACTATGAAATATATGTTAACAAATGAAATGCAAAGTTATTAACATAGAGTACTTATAGAGGAAAAGTTACGTGGCAAGAATCAACAAAATATTTCAAAAACAAGAGTGAAAGGATTCTACAATGTTAATAATGTGAATACATAATCAAAAGTTAAGAAGGGTTATCCTGTTAAATGGTGCTTTGTAATGCAGTTTAAGTTAAGCAAAGCAAAGCATAACTAAAGAAATTAATTTTCATAATCAAATAATATTTTATTAGCCTCGTCCTGCCTTTTTCTTTTTAACTATATATTAATATCTTGTCAAGTTACTTTTGGAATTTTTGTCTAGGTAGTATCTTATACTTGACTATCTCTCTCACTGCAAGAATGAATGCTTTGGCAATAAAGTCGAAATTAACAATGCCATAATGTTACTTTACTTCTGATATACGCATTGTTATTAGATTATTTTTTCTTTTACTAACAAAGACATTAAAGAATAGTCATCCGTTCATAAAATATTCCCTGTGGATGTATTTTTTGTTATTAATTACAGAATTTTTGGCTACTTTTTAATGGTAGCTATGGGCTCTTATAGTGTTATAAATTTGTCTTTGCATATAATTTCTTGTCACAGACATAAACTGTCTAGCTAGAAATGCATAACCACTTCCTGATTCACGTGACAGATAAAAAATCAAAAAACCTTGGAGCTTGAGATCGATGAAACCACCAAATGAAGTTATTCTTTCAGGAAGCTATTATATTAAGAGATAAAGGAGAACTTGTGCTATCTCATTCCACACTTCAGTGGTTTGTTCACGACTCCATTATTACATCATTATTGTATTTCTCTGTTACCTTTTCTTCTTGATTTTGTTCGTAAAAGAGCCTCCAGCTACAAATTCTGGCATCTCAAATCTCAAGTCACCCAATCTGCAGTTACATTTGCTGAACAAATTCTCTCTCAGGTGCAATTTTCTCTTTTCTCTTTTCTCTTTTTTATTTTTATTTTTATTTAGCGGTAAAATCAAACACACCCGAGCCTTCTAGTTTAAGAGTGTCTTTGACCCTGTTGCTGTAACAAACTTGGTTGAAAATATTTGGGACCTGATTTAACATTGATCAAATTAATTATCGAGGTATATATATCCTCAAATAACAAAAATTTTAGACAGATTTCTTGCTAAAGGAAATTATTAAATTTTATCTTTTACCATTTATGTGATGTGAGAAAACATGGTTTGGAGATTTTTTGGATCTTATATGTGCTTAATTATATGATGCTATTAGCCTAGTCTTTATTATATGCTGTGTTTTGAATAATTATTCTCTTGTCAGTTTAGGATAAGTATTTAGGGTGCACGTGTTTGGCACACAGTACTAGACTAGACTAATTTTATGGGATTGGATTAAAATGAATAGCTATAGATTGAATTATAATTGTATATTATGTTTGATAAAGTATTTCATTAGACAAAACTATTTATATGATTAAACATTTCAAATTTTACTAATTAATTAATTTGAATAAAAATTAACTAAATACTTCAATTTTAATTTTATAGTTATTATAAAAATGTTATAATTATATATTTATTTTATTAAACTCTTAATTTAAAATATTTGTAATTTTCAATACTAATTTTAATAAAATACCAGAATATATTTAAAACTGCAAACATCGTTTGCATGAGGCTCTAAAAAGGAAGATCCGTGAGGGGCCACCTTTTTATTTATTTATTTATTGTGTTAAATGTTTTTTGAAAAAGGATTTAGTCCCCAATTTCAAATAATCTAAAGTTTGTTCCAAACATGGGATTAAAAGCACTAATTTATTAAGTTATAATCTATGATTCCATCGTCTTTGCAAAAGTTGTTCTTCAGGCATTTTGCATTATTTATTTAATTTTATTGTCGACAAGCAGTTAGCTTTGTCTTTTGCTTTTTCCTTAAAGTCAGTTATTTAATTTAAATCTGAATTTTAAGTTGTATTTAGATAGAATTATACATATAATAAACTTGCATTTACAATAAATAGATACAAAGATCTGAAATATAGAGACTATTTTTCTTTTTCAATTTTGTTTAGCAAGTATTGCACTCATAATTTACACACACATTTAGTCTCCGTCAAGAAATCTATGTATAGATGCACGTTTGTTCATTAGAACTATGCAAAACTCCATAGTGATGATACAGTGAACCATCACAAGTCTCAGTATAGTTTGATCAGCATTGTTTTATTTGTAATTTGTTGGACAGCTAATACTATTCATGTCCATCGCAAAAAGACACCAAAAGATACATACTTTACATTTTACCAGTTTTTGGGTTGCTATTAAACAATAAATGATAAATTAGTTATAACTTATTCAATAAAAATCTAACTGATGAGTGCTTTGAAGTTTTTGAAACTAGACAGATATATATTATAAGCTGAATTTGAATAACTGTAAAGCCTTCAAATTCCGTCCAAAATTATCGTTCAGAGTTTAATTTTCAACATAATTTTTTCTAAAAAGATTCTATGTTGCCTGCAGTTGTATCGTCGGAAAGAAGAGATGGCTTTGCAATCTTTTACAGATCATATGATGAAACTTTGGGATGGATGGGAAATTCGAGTGTTGGTTTTATTGAGCCTTTTTGTACAAATCATCCTTATCATATTTGGTTCTCAAAGAAAATATACTAGAAGAATTTGGATCAATCTCCTTGTTTGGTTAGCATACTTGACAGCAGACATGGTGGCAACAGTTGCTCTCGGTTGTCTTGCTCGCAGCCGAAGAGATTCTGCGGCTGATAAAGTTTTAAAGCTCCAGGCATTTTGGGAACCTTTCCTTCTGCTGCACCTTGGTGGCCCCGATACTATCACGGCTTACTCCTTAAATGATAATGAGTTTTGGCTAAGGCACTTTCTTCAATTTGTGTTCCAAGTTGGGGTAGCATTTTATGTCTTCATACCATCCTGGAAAAACAAAGATGCCTTCAGATTTATAGCCATTCCAGTGTTTATCGCTGGAATGATTAAGTATGCAGAGAGACTTTTAGTGCTCCACTCTTCAAGCGCCAAGAAATTTAAAGATTCCTTGCGTTCACCTCCTGAATTTGGTAAGAATCCTTCAAACCTCAAGGACAGAGAAAAAAAGTATGAAAAGAAGCCAACTGAAGAGGTAAATAATTACCACATTGAAGCTGTATCCTGGTTCAAAAAATTCAGGTGTCTCTATGCTGATTTAATTCTCGATCATGATGAAAGAAAAGAAAGTTACTCTCTTCTCAGCAAGAAGTCAGCAAAAGAAGCCTTCAAATTGGTAGCAATTGAGCTTGGATTCATGTATGATGTGCTCTATACAATGACAACAACAATTTATTCCGTGCTCGGTATCATTCTCCGTTGCATCTCTTTGTTCTCCCATATTTTTGTATTAGTTATCTTCTTAATCATTATTGATAAGTCTTCCTATTCACCAAGTGACATCTCCATAACTTATGTACTAATAGTTGGAGGGATCTTTCTGGAGGTTTATGCAATATTCATCGTGCTTCTTTTCTCTGACTGGACAAAACATTGGTTGACCAAGAGTAATTATATGTCCATTGATACATGCTCTAATGGTTTACTCTCCAACGACAACAGAAGCTGGTCAGGATCCATGGGTCAGTACAATCTATTAAGTTTTTCTCTTTCAGAGGCCAAATCAGCCACATCGTTGATTGTTGGAGTTCAGAAGCTATTTGGAATCAAAGAACTAATAGAAAAGTATAAATATTTGACTTTGAAAGAAGTGGATGATGATTTATTAAAAGCGATCTTCATCCAACTCCTTGAGAAAAGCCAAGAAATTAAAGAGGATCTTTTTTATATCAAGCAATGCAAAGAACTGCTGGGTCGGAGAGGAGATTATGTGCTTAGCAAAAGGTCTTTCAGTAATGAATTTCGTTGGAGCACAGTTGAGGTGGAATTTGATTACAGTCTTCTTCTTTGGCACATCGCTACTGATCTTTGCTATTACGATGATTTCTGTAACCTTCCAGAGGGTCATGAACTTCCTCCAAAATGCAAAATTAGCCAATGCTTATCAGATTATCTGTTGTATCTTTTAGTCATATGTCCAACCATGTTGCACAAAGGGATTGGTGAGATAAGATATAAAGACACTTGCCTAGAAGCCATCAGATTTTTCAGAAAAAAATAAAGTTTGGTTCATCCACTGAAATCAGTACAGTTTCCAAGGCTTTACTTGATGAATCAGCACCGGATCTAAGCATTATGAATAAAGGAAGTTCTCTCATAATATAATTGGAATGTTTGGTAAATTTGTACATATCAAATGTTCCATAAATCGCCCCATTAAGATATAATTAAAAATATCAAATGAAGGGCATTTTTGGAATTTATGAAGTGTTATAAGAAAAAAAAAAAAAAAATTTTTAAAACTTTGAAATGGGGTGTTTTAAAAAATGGGTCTGCTTTAGTCCATTAGTAGGGCGTCAATAGCTCCACTCCACTCATATATTATTTGTTGATTTAAACTTGCCTTTCTAATAATGGATGGTAATATTTTCTTTTAAATTATAACTATTTCTATTCATCTTCTTGTCAAAAGATAATTTAATTTGTAAGCAGTGCAGCTGAATTAAACTAGATATTCTAGATGATTTTCCAACTGCCTTTGCTTAATTTATCAAATGATTAAGCACACAGAGGCTTGCAAGCATTTCATTTTAAAACAGAGATTTATGCAACATATATTACGCTAGTTTGACGAAGGATAAAATCAAACTAGTTCATCTATATCCAATTTCTTAATTCATAACGATTAAATAATAAACCTGCTCACCTCCATTACGTTAGTTTGACGAAGGATAAAATCAAGTATTTATTACGCTATCCCATTCTAACCTCTTTCTTCTTTTTCCCTTTTTGAATAATTCTTGTCTTGTCAATTTACGGTAAGTATTTATAAGCCCAATCCAACTTTTTCTTTTTCTTTTTCTTCTTTTGGAATAATTCTTTTCTTGTGAGTTTAGGAGAAGAAAAATAAAATTCCATCCTCATGGATGAAGTTATTCTTTAGGCATGTTGCATTACTTAATTCTCTGCATCTGCATGCATGCCGTTAGTTTAATTGGTCTCTTACTTCTTCGTCAAAGTCAGTTCTTAAAATATTAGTCAACCTTTTGGTTCCACAGGCAATAACACCACCACCCTCGTCTAATCTACCTGCAGTAGCATCCCAAGTTCCTAAGGTACAACTAATTACTATTCTGTCTTATGTTAATTACACACGTATTAAAATAATCTACAAAAGTTGCACACGTATATAGCCAATCTCTCTCTTATGTTAATTGCATACAATTTTTATTTTAATACCTCAAAAATACAAAACATGCATATGACATGACTTAATTACTACTGTGGTATGTAGCATATTTATATAGTTTTTACTTCATAAATTACGGCTTTAGATTTTTATTATTTATCTTATTGACTTAAAATTTATTTATTCTTTCAGGAAGCTATTATATTAAGAGATATACGAGAGAACTTGTGCTATCTCATTCCACACTTCAGTGCTTCCATTTCACATCATTATTGTATTTCTCTGTTACTTTTCTTTTTTATTTTGTCTATAAAGGAGCCTCCAGCTACAAATTCTGGCATCTCAAATCTCAAGTTACCCAGTCTGCAGTTACATTTGTTCAACAAATTCTCTCGCAGGTGCAATTTTCTCTTTTATGTTATCTACAATTTTGCTCTTCTCAAATACGTTGTTCTGTTTTTCTTTTTATTTCTATATAGTGATAAATTTTGTTCCGCTCCCCAAACATTCACTCTTAAAATCAAACACAACCGAGCCTTCTAGTTTAAGAGTATCTCTGAGTCTCTGACCGCTACTGCCGGAGCAAACTTAGTTAAAATATTTGGTACCTTATTTAACATTGATGAAATTAATTATCTAGGTATATATTTATCCTCAAATAACAAAATTTTAGACAGATTTCTTGCTAAAGGAAATTATTAAATTTTATTTTTTACCATTTATGTGATGTGAAAAAACATGGTTCGTAGATGTTTTTTTATCTTATATGTGCTTAATTATATGATGCTATTAGCCTACTATTTAATATATGATGTTTTTTGAATAATTATTCTCTTGTCAGTTTCGGATAAGTATTTAGGGTGCACTTGTTTGGCGCACAGTACAAGACTAGACTAATTTTATGGGATTGGATTAAAATGAATAGCTATAGATTGAAATTGAATTAGATTGGACAAGAATTATAATAGGATATTATGTTTGATAACGTATTTCATTAGACAAAACTATTCATATGATTAAACATTTCAAATTTTACTAATTAATTCATTTGAATAAAAGTTAGCTAAATACTTAAATTTTAATTTAACTATAAAATTATTGAAGGGAGAACTACATTTTCCCACCCAAGGTTTGGTGACATGACACTTTCCACCTATTAAGTTTCAAAACGACACTTTCCCACCCTTGTTAAGATTCATCCTTCAAGTTTAACTGAAGAAAGATATAATAATAAATTCAAAAGATTATTAAAGGTAATTACATTATTTTATCCTTATAAACTTTAGGAAAAAAAAAAAATTTCAATTCATAAAAATAAGCTAATACTCTTAATTCTTAAACATATGGGAGATTATATAAAACAAAGCACGAATATAACAACATAAAACACGAAAAATAAAAAGAAGAAATCACCACCAAACATAGACAACTCTAGAGTCTAGAACACCTGTCCTTAATCCACCTAAAACTCTTCTTGAAACTTGAAAGACCCTTTAACTGTAACTTTGCCTTCAACAGTGTAAACCTTATAGCTAGCAACCCGCTTCTTCCTTTACAACTCTGGATCACTAAAACTCGAACTTCTTGAAGAAGACCCATTTGTTGACGTTCCTTTCTTGAACTTGGCATCATTGTTTTGGGGTTGTTGAGTTTGTGGATGTTGTAATAACACACACACACAAACCTAATTAAACCTATCATATCAAGCAATCACAGAAAAGATTCAACACCACAATTTTTACCGTGGTTCACCTTTCCAAGAATGGGAAGGCTACGTCCACGTTGAGCCCGGAAACGGAAGAAGCTCACTACACTAATATAAACTAGTTTACAGATTACATACTCTCAATCAAATGATCCAAGAAAGAAACCCCGAAATCAACCAATCTTGTAACAATCAACCTAGAGAAATAACACTAAGATCCCTAGCCTTTAGAGAGACAATAACCCTCTCTTAGAATGAAAAACACAATCACTCAACTAGTTACACCGACTACGATTTCAGAACTGGACGAAAAACCCTAAGAGAGCAAATTCCTATTACACAGTATATCAATTGAGAAAACCCTTACTGAAGACTGAAGACTCATTTGCTTATATACCGTTGACTAGAATTGGACTAATTGCTGCCGTTGGATCTTAAGATGATTGATGGTCCAGATTTCTTCCTGAAACGACAGCGTATTACTTAGTTAAGTAACACGACATCGTTTCAGTCTTCACACTTACAATCTCCATCTTGAAGACTTGAAACCAACTTCTTCACTTGAGTCTCTTTTAGTGCAGTTTGCCTCAATTGATTCCCTCATAGCTCTGTTGTCTTTTGCTTATTTCAGAAATAGCAAGTTCATGCAATGCTTGAACTCGGCTGGAGTGACAATTTTTGTTCCCATGTCTGCTGGATTTTCTTCAGTGGGAACCTTTCTTAGCTCAATCAGTTCTTTGTTGATTAGGTCTCTGATGAAATGAAACCTTACGTCCACATGTTTTGTTCTTTCATGATAGATAGGATTTTTGCTTAGTAGTACAGCACTTTGATTGTCTGAGAAGATAGTCACTTTGCTATCAGTTAGCTCAATTTTTGTCAGTAGTCCTTGCATCCATATGGCTTCCTTGAAACCATCCGCCAAGGCCACATATTCTGCTTCAGTCGATGATAGTGCAACTAGGGGCTGGAGTTGTGATTTCCAGCTGATGCAATTCCTTCCAAGAGTGAAACAATAGGCAGTAGTTGACTTCCTGCTATCCCTGTCACCTACAAAGTCTGAATCCACAAACCCAACAAGATCAAGTGTAGATGTTCTTTTGCAATATTCTAAACCTATACATGCAGTACTGTTAATGTATCTGAGCACCCATTTTAGAGCAATCCAGTGATCACTCCCTGGGTTTGACATGTATCTACTCAATAGAGATATTGCAAAGGCTAAATCTAGTCTAGTGCTAATCATTGCGTATATTACTGATCCTATCACATTAGAGTAAGGAACAATCTCCATTTGAATGGTTTCAGCAGGACTCTTAGGACACTATGACTTAGACAGTACAAAATGGTTTGCAAAGGGCATTGACACATGCTTACAGTCAAACATTCCAAATTTAGAGACTAATTTCTGCAGATATGATTTTTGATGGATTTTTAGGGTACTCTTACTTCTGTCCCTATCTATGAACATTCCAAGTATTTTCTTAGCCACTCCTAGGTCTTTCATATCAAATTCAGAATTGAGTCTAACCTTTAATTTAGTTATCTTGGACTTTGATTTACTAATCGGAAGCAGATCATCTACATAAAGTAGGAGGTAAATAGGCATAACATCTTTCAAAGCAAAGTAAAAACAGTTATCGTATTTGCTCCTAGTGAATCCTAAGTTGATTATAAAGGTATCAAACCTTTTATACCATTGTCTAGGTGACTGCTTAAGTCCATACAGGGACTTATGCAACTTGCACACATGGTCTAGCCTTAGATTATCTACAAAGCCTACTAGCTGAACCATGAAGATTTGCTCTTCTAAATCACCATGTAGGAAAGCTTTTTTTTACATCAAGTTGCTCTAGCTCTAGGTCTTGGTGAGATACAACAGACAACATCATCCTAATGGTCTTATATTTGACTACGAGAGAGAAGACTTCATTGAAGTCTATGCCCTCCCTTTGGGTGTACCCTTTGGCCACCAGTCTAGCTTTGTATCTAGGTGGTTCATTTATTGCTATACCCTCCTTAATCTTATACAACCATTTACACTAAATAAATTTTTGATTTTTAGGTTTAGGAACAAGGGACCAAGTCCCATTTACCTTTAGGGAATTCATTTCCTCTATTATTGCTTGCCATCATTTGTCCCTATCATTTGAAGTTATTGCTTCTG